CGCATTTACTATATCCGCTCTCCCCGGACCCTGCATTCACTATATCCGCTCTCCCCGGACCCTGCATTCACTATATCCGCTCTCCCCGGACCCTGCATTCACTATATCCGCTCTCCCTGGACCCTGCATTCACTATATCCGCTCTCCCTGGACCCTGCATTCACTATATCCGCTCTCCCTGGACCCTGCATTCACTATATCTGGTCTCCCCGGACCCAGCATTCACTATATCTGGTCTCCCCGGACCCAGCATTCACTATATCTGGTCTCCCCGGACCCTGAATTCACTATATCTGGTCTCCCTGGACCCTGCATTCACTATATCTGGTCTCCCTGGACCCTGCATTCACTATATCTGGTAAAACGCATCAAAAACGCACACGTCCCTTTCAGTTGAAGAAAAGGAGGGGGGAAAAAAATTAACTGCAATGCATAAAAAACACACTGGAACGTGCCAAAAACACACATGCAGAAATGCATCCAGAATGCATTTGGACTGATATGGTTGTCAGTGTCATAGTTCATATCAGTGCTTGCAGTTCCGGTGCGTTCCGGTTGCAGAAAAATAAGTAGAACAGGCTGCATTTTTTCTGCACAGAACTGTACTGAAAAGTGGTAAAACGCATCAAAAACGCATGGAAAAACATAAAACCGCATTGGAACGCACGTGTCCCTATTTAAATTGAAGAAAAAGAGAGGGGAAAACAAATTAACAGGACTGCTTAAAAAAGCACCGGAACGCGTAAAAAAACAAGCATGCAGAAACGCATCAGAAATGCATCTGGACTGCAGTTCTATAGTGTGAACTGGCCCTACAAAGAACTGGCTGCAGGAAGACAATGAACAACCAACAGGGGGGTGCACTGAGCCCCCACAGCAGACCCACCATGGCCTAAAATATTACTGCCGTATGATATCTATAGAAAAACATATCGTATAGGAAACAAAGTCAGAAAAAGGTGTATGACCTGACCTACAGGGGAACATGGGTCCCATCCAGGGGCAGGATAAAGGTGTATGACCTGACCTACAGGGGAGCATGGGTCTCATCCAGGGCCAGGATAAAGGTGTATGACCTGACCTACAGGGGAGCATGGGTCCCATCCAGGGGCAGGATAAAGGTGTATGACCTTACCTACAGGGGAGCATGGGTCCCATCCAGGGGCAGGATAAAGGTGTATGACCTTACCTATAGGGGAGCATGGGTCCCATCCAGGGGCAGGATAAAGGTGTATGACCTTACCTATAGGGAAGGATGGGTCCCATCCAGGGGCAGGATAAAGGTGTATGACCTTACCTATAGGGGAGCATGGGTCCCATGCAGGGGAAGGATGAAGGTGTATGACCTTACCTAGAGGGGAGCATGGGTCCCATGCAGGGGCAGGATGCTATAGTGCTGGGGGTTGTACATAAATCCATCCAATGTTAGAGCTAAATGACACAACCAGCAGATATGATTCATACTGTTCCTGCAAAGAGCAGCTGTCTGGATGGACATTATAGGTTTCTTTACAGATATCTAATAAATTAATTCTGAACAACATACTCCTGACCCCTGCTCAAAATACTCCTGACCCTTGACCTCTGCTCAACATACTTCTGACCTCTGCTCAACATGCTCCTGACCTCTGCTCAACATGCTCATGACCCTTGACCTCTGCTCAACATACTTCTGACCACTGATCAACATGCTTCTGACGTCTACTCAACATGCTCCTGATCAACATACTCCTGACCCTTGACCTCTGCTCAACATGCTCTTGACCCTTGACCTCTGCTCAACATGCTCCTGACCACTGACCTCTGCTCAACATGCTCCTGACCACTGACCTCTACTCATCATGCTCCTGACCTCTGCTCAACATACTAACCTCTGTTCAACATACTCCTGACACCTGATCAACATCTGACCTCTGATCAACATACTTCTGACCCCCTGATCAACATACTCCTGACCCCTGATCAACATACTCCTGACCCCTGATCAACATACTCCTGACCCCTGATCAACATACTCCTGACCCCTGATCAACATACTCCTGACCCCTGACCTATGACCAACATACTCCTGACCTATGACCAACATACTCCTGACCTATGACCAACATACTCCTGACCCCTGACCTATGACCAACATACTCCTGACCCCTGCTCAACATACTTCTGACCCACCGATCAACATAAGTCTGACCCCAGATCAACATACATCTGACCCCAGATCAACATTCGTCTGACGCCCGGATCAACATATTATTAACCTCTCAACATACTACTAACCTCTGTTCAACATACTCCTGACCCTTGACCTCTGCTCAACATACTCCTGACCACTGATCAACATGCTCCTGACCCCTGATCAACATACTCCTGACCCTTGACCTATGCTCAACATCTAACCACTGATCAACATGCGCCTGACCTCTGCTCAACATTCTCCTGACCCTTGACCTCTGCTCAACATACTCCTGACCACTGATCAACATGCTCCTGCCCTCTGCTCAACATGCTCCTGACCCCTGGTCAACATACTCCTGACCCTTGACCTATGCTCAACATACTCCTGACCCTTGACCTCTGCTCAACATACTTCTGACCACTGATCAACATGCTCCTGACCTCTGCTCGACATACTACTGACCTCTGCTCAACATACTACTAACCTCTGCTCAACATACTACTGACCTCTGCTCAACATACTACTGACCTCTGCTCAACATACTACTGACCTCTGCTCAACATACTACTAACCTCTGCTCAACATACTACTAACCCCTAATCAACATCTGACCAACATACTTCTGACCCCTGATCATCATAACCCTGACCTCTCAACATACTACTAACCTTGATGAGAATAAAGGACATCCAAACAATCCACTTTGTTGAAACGAGATAAAACCAATACAGACAGTACAGTACAGGGGGGGGGATTGGCAGGTAGACGTGTTTCACGCTAAAGACAGCGCTTATTCATTACATTATTATTTGGGGTCATGACTAAGCGCTGTCTTTAGCGTGAAACACGTTTACCTGTCAGTCCCCCCCCTGTACTGTCTGTATTGGTTTTATCTCGGTTCAATAAAGTGGGTTGTTTGGAGTGCAGCGATCGGACGTCCTTTGTTCTCATCTATGCAGCACAGGAGCCGGGCTAACACCTACAGGAGGAGTTGTGATCGGAGATTGGGAGTCTCTCCACCTTGTTAGTAGTATATGTTTACCACTGCTCCTCTCTTCAACATACTTCTGACCCCTGAACTCTGATCAACATACTCCTGACCCCTAACATACTCCTGACCCCTAACATATTCCTGACCCCTAACATACTCCTGACCCCTGCTCAAACATGCTCCTGACTCCTACTCGTGACCCTGAACTTTTATCAACATAATACTGACCCCTGCCCTCTGATCAACATGCTCCTGACCCCTGACCTCTGATCAACATGCTCCAGACCCCTGACCTCTGATCAACATGCTCCAGACCCCTGCCCTCTGATCAACATGCTCCTGACCCCTGACCTCTGATCAACATGCTCCAGACCCCTGCCCTCTGATCAACATGCTCCTGACCCCTGACCTCTCAACACACTACTAACTTCTGTTCAACATACGTCTGGCCCACGGCCTCTGCTCAACGTACTTCTGGGCCTCTGTTCAGCGTACTTATCAACATACTTATGACCCCCGAACAACATACTCCTAACCCCTGACCACTGCTCAACATGCTCCTGACCCCTACTTGTGACCCTGAACTTTAATCAATATAATACTGACCCCTGACCTCTCAACACACTACTAACCTCTGCTCAAGATACGTCTGGGCCCCTGAACCCTGCTCAACATACTACTGACCTCTAAACTCTGCACAACATACTCCTGACCCCTGCTCAACATACTCCTTACTCCTGAACTCTGATCAACATACTCCTGACCCCTGAACTCTGATCAACATACTCCTGACCCCTGAACTCTGATCAACATACTCCTGACCCCTGAACTCTGATCAACATACTCCTGACCCCTGAACTCTGCACAGCATACTCCTGACCCCTGAACTCTGCACAACATACTCCTGACCCCTGCTCAACATACTCCTGACCCCTGAACTCTGCACAACATACTCCTGACCCCTGCTCAACATACTCCTGACCCCTGAACTCTGCACAACATACTCCTGACCCCTGCTCAACATACTCCTGACCCCTGAACTCTGCACAACATACTCCTGAACTCTGCACAACATACTCCTGACCCCTGAACTCTGCACAACATACTCCTGACCCCTGAACTCTGCACAACATACTCCTGACCCCTGAACTCTGCACAACATACTCCTGACCCCTGAACTCTGCACAACATACTCCTGACCCCTGAACTCTGCACAACATACTCCTGACCCCTGAACTCTGCACAACATACTCCTGACCCCTGAACTCTGCACAACATACTCCTGACCCCTGAACTCTGCACAACATACTCCTGACCCCTGCACAACATACTCCTGACCCCTGCTCAACATACTCCTGACCCCTGAACTCTGCACAGCATACTCCTGACCCCGAACTCTGATCACTCTACCCCTGACCGCAGAACTCTGCACAACATTCTACACATACATGGGGATCTAAGGGTGCAGCGTTGTCACCCTCCAGATCGCTCCGGTGTGAATGAGGGCAGACAGCAGAGTTGCCATCACTTTGGCAGACTTCCTCTCACTTCTAGTTGTGTCACTGAGACAGGAAATGAAAACAAATCGCCACAAATGGGATTTAAACAGCAAATAGAAGTGACCTGATAGGTGCCATAATTATGGACATACACCCTACAAGCCCCTCCCAGGACTCAGCCCTGTCCCTGCACAGGAGACAGGTCCTCTTCACACCTCAGGTGCTGATCACGTGACCAGCCAGAGGAGAGGCCGACCCCTGAGCCCAGGCCGGGACCCCTCATACAGCATACACAGCCCCAACATAGCCACACCGGCCCCCCCCCGAACCTCACCTTGGTGAGCAGCGGCGGCCATCCCGGCTCTTTTATCCTGCCGTCCTGCGCGGTCCCGCTCCGCCCTCCGGTGCCCGGTAACAAGATGGCGGACACAATCCAATTCTCCGATTTTTTTCCCCCAAACCAAACGGGGAATATGGGTCGTACGGCGCAACCTAGCTCGCCAAGAATGAGGCGTGGCCCGTTCACATGACCGGCAGCGGTTCCGTCCAATCAGCGCTAGCAATGGGGTACCAAGGACCGCCCAGGGACGATAGGGTGTGGCTAGCAGGTTAGGCGAGTTCCTGACGCAAAGAGTGGTTGCGTAAGAAAGGAAATGATTGGAGGGGAGGAGAAGAAGGCCTCGTGATTGGCTAGCGGGGACGGAGAAGCGGATTGGAAGATAGGGGAGGGGGTGAACTGTTTGTGGTGCCTGCCATCAAAATAAGAAGTGAGAGTTTATTATTATAGAGTTCTAATGGCGAGGAGAGCCGATAAAACAATGATGAGGCCCGGCCAGGGTGAGGTGGAATGTGTGCGACAGATAGATACACAGGGCTCTATATATAGAGAATTTTTTTAAATTATTTTTATTTATTCTTTTTTAATTTTTTTTTCCTCATGTAATTGGTTGATTTACTACACTCCTCCTATACTTTACGGCACAGGAAACTGCCTCTGTTTGATCTGCAGTTGCCACGGTGCTGCCCATGTGATCAGTTATGACACAAGACATTGGATGGAGCGAAGGTTCCAATGAGAGCAAAAGCAACTGTGACAGATATCAAGTCGTGATTGTAACTGTTTTGGGAACCATTAAATTGATGAGTTTAGTTCCACTTTCATGTGTGTTTTAAATATATAAACAGTATTTTATATATATCAAAATATATTTTATATACTTTTAAAATGTATTTATATATATATATATATATATATATATATATGTATATATAACACACTGTTTATTCATAGCACACCAACCAATTTAGAAAAAAAATGTGTGCGTGTATATATATATATAATATATTGATAGATGATGTATATGTAAATTTCTAAATTGATGTATATATATATATATATATATATAACACACCAACCAATTTAGAAAATGTGTGTGTGCATGTATATATATATAATTAGTTTTTTTTTATTGGTTTGTGTGTTTTATATATATATATAAACACACACCAACCAATTAAACAAAATATAAAAATATATATATATATATATATATATATATATACACAGTGGGGCAAAAAAGTATTTAGTCAGCCACCAATTGTACAAGTTCTCCCACTTAAAAAGATGAGAGAGGCCTGTAATTGGCATCATAGGTAGACCTCAACTATGAGAGACAAAATGATGAGAAAACAAATCCAGACAATCACATTGGCTGATCTGGAAAGAATTTATTTGCAAATTATGGTGGAAAATAAGTATTTGGTCAATATGAAAAGTTGATCTCAATACTTTGTTATATATCCTTTGTTGGCAATGACAGAGGTCAGACGTTTCCTGTAAGTCTTCACAAGGTTGGCACACACTGTTGCTGGTATGTTGGCCCATCCTCCATGCAGATCTCCTCTAGAGCAGTGATGTTTTGGGGCTGTCGCTGGGCAACACGGACTTTCAACTCCCTCCAAAGGTTTTCTATGGGGTTGAGATCTGGAGACTGGCTAGGCCACTCCAGGACCTTGAAATGCTTCTTACAAAGCCACTCCTTCGTTGCCCCGGGCGGTATGTTTGGGATCATTGTCATGTTGGAAGACCCAGCCACGTTTCATCTTCAATGCCCTTGCTGATGGAAGGAGGTTTGCACTCAAAATCTCACGATACATGGCCCCATTCATTCTGTCCTGTAGATGGATCAGTCGTCCTGGTCCCTTTGCGGAGAAACAGCCCCAAAGCATGATGTTGCCATCCCCATGCTTCACAGTAGGTATGGTGTTCTTTGGATGCAACTCAGCATTCTCTCTCCTCCAAACACGACGACGTTGTATTTCTACCAAACAGTTCTATTTTTTTTTTCATCTGACCATATGACATTCTCCCAATCCTCTTCTGGATCATCCAAATGCTCTCTAGCAAACTCCAGACGGGCCCGGACATGTACTGGCTTAAGCAGGGGGACACATCTGGCACTGCAGGATCTGAGTCCCTGGCGGCGTAGTGTGTTACTGATGGTAGCCTTTGTTACGTTGGTCCCAGCTCTCTGCAGGTCATTCACTAGGTCCCCCGTGTGGTCCTGGGATTTTTGCTCACCGTTCTTGTGATCATTTTGACCCCACGGGGTGAGATCTTGCTTGGAGCCCCAGATCGAGGGAGATTATCAGTGGTCTTGTATGTCTTCCATTTTCCAATTATTGCTCCCACAGTTGATTTGTTCACACCAAGCTGCTTGCCTATTGCAGATTCAGTCTTCCCAGCCTGGTGCAGGTCTACAATTTTGTTTTCTGGTGTCCTTCGACAGCTCTTTGGTCTTCACCATAGTGGAGTTTGGAGTGTGACTGTTTGAGGTTGTGGAAAGGTGTCTTTTATACTGATAACAAGTTCAAACAGGTGCCATTGATACAGGTAATGAGTGCAGGACAGATGAGCCTCTTAAAGAAGAAGGTACAGGTCTGTGAGAGACAGAAATCTTGCTTGTTTGTAGGTGACCAAATACTTATTTTCCACCATAATTTGCAAATAAATTCTTTCCAGATCAGCCAATGTGATTGTCTGGATTTGTTTTCTCATTTTGTCTCCCATAGTTGAGGTCTACCTATGATGCCAATTACAGGCCTCTCTCATCTTTTTAAGTGGGAGAACTTGCACAATTGGTGGCTGACTAAATACTTTTTTGCCCCACTGTATATATAAATAGAACACACCAACCCCAATTAAAAAAAAATCTAATTATATAAATATATATATATTTTAAATTGGTGTGTTATGAATAGATAAACAGTATATATATTGGGGAAAGACCTGGCCACCTACCCTGTAAAATAATTGCTAAGAGAATTCATGGAAAAAAAGTCGCTTATGAGTGAAGGTCCATGCAATCGCCAAGGGTCGGACACAACTAAATGGATATATACAGTTGTGTTCAAAATAATAGCAGTGTGTTGAAAAAAGTGAATAAAGCTCAAAATCCTTCTAATAGCTTTTATTTCCATCCACACAAATGCATTGGGAACACGACACGTTCTATTCCAAATCAAAACATGAAGAAAAATAGATCAAATTTGTGTTGTTCCTCTAAAACAGTGGTTCTCAACCTTTCTAATGCGGCGACCCCTTAATACAGTTCCTCATGTTGTGGTGACCCCCAACCATAAAATTATTTTCGTTGCTACTTCATAACTGTAATTTTGCAGTGGGAGGAATAGTGCCACATCATTGATATCAATGGGAGGAATAGTGCCACATCATTGGTGTCAGTGGGAGGAATAGTGTCCCATCATTGGTATCAGTGGGAGGAATAGTGTCCCATCATTGGTATTAGTGGGAGGAATAGTGCCCCATCATTGGTATCAGTGGGAGGAATAGTGCCCCATCATTGGTATCAGTGGGAGGAATAGTGCCTCGTCATTGGTGTCAGTGGGAGGAATAGTGCCCCATCATTGGTATCAGTGGGAGAATAGTGCCCCATCATTGGTGTCAGTGGGAGGAATAGCGCCCCATCATTGGTGTCAGTGGGAGGAATAGCGCCCCATCATTGGTGTCAGTGGGAGGAATAGCGCCCCATCATTGGTGTCAGTGGGAGGAATAGCGTCCCATCATTGGTATCAGTGGGAGGAATAGCGCCCCATCATTGGTGTCAGTGGGAGGAATAGCGCCCCATCATTGGTATCAGTGGGAGGAATAGCGCCCCATCATTGGTTTCAGTGGGAGGAATAGCGCCCCATCATTGGTGTCAGTGGGAGGAATAGCGCCCCGTCACTGGTGTCAGTGGAAGGAATAGCGCCCCGTCATTGGTGTCAGTGGGGGGAATAGCGCCCCGTCACTGGTGTCAGTGGGGGGAATAGCGCCCCGTCACTGGTGTCAGTGGGGGGAATAGCGCCCCGTCACTGGTGTCAGTGGGAGGAATAGCACCCCGTCATTGGTGTCAGTGGGAGGAATAGCGCCCCCTCATTGGTATCAGTGGGAGGAATAGCGCCCCGTCACTGGTGTCAGTGGGAGGAATAGTGCCCCGTCACTGGTGTCAGTGGAAGGAATAGTGCTCCGTCATTGGTGTCAGTGGGGGAAATAGTGCCCCACCATTGGTATCAGTGGGAGGAATAGTGCCCCATCATTGGTATCAGTGGGAGGAATAGTGCCCCATCATTGGTATCAGTGGGAGGAATAGTGTCCCATCATTGGTGTCAATGGGTGGAATAGTGCCCCATCATTGGTGTCAGTGCGAGGAATAGTGCCCCATCATTGGTGTCAGTGCGAGGAATAGTGCCCCATCATTGGTGTCAGTGGGAGGAATAGTGCTCCATCATTGGTGTCAGTGCGAGGAATAGTGCCCCATCATTGGTGTCAGTGGGAGGAATAGTGCCCCATCATTGGTATCAGTGGGAGGAATAGTGCCCCATCATTGGTGTCAGTGTGGGGAATAGTGTCCCATCATTGGTATCAGTGGGAAGAATAGTGCCCCATCATTGGTGTCAGTGGGAGGAATAGTGCCCCATCATTGATGTCAGTGTGGTGGAGGGGGGAATAGTGCCCTATCATTAGGGTCAGGGGGGGGAATAGTGCCCCATCATTGGTGTCGGTGGGGGGAGGAATAGTGCCCCATTCTTGGTGTTAGTGGGAGGAATAGTGCCCCATCGTTGGTGTCAGTGGGGGGAGGAATAGTGCCCCATCGTTGGTGTCAGTGTGGGAGGAATAGTGCCCCATCGTTGGTGTCAGTGAGGGGAGGAATAGTGTCCCATCGTTGGTGTCAGTGGGGGGAGGAATAGTGCCCCATCGTTGGTGTCAGTGGGGGGGAGGAAAAGTGCCCCATCGTTGGTGTATGTGTGGGAGAAAAAGTGCCCCATCATTGGTATTAGTGACACCAATGATGGGGCACTATTCCTCCCACTGACACAAATGATACTTACCTTGCTGACCCCTGCTCCAGCCTGGGCTCGCTCTCTCCCTCTCTCATCTACAGCCTGCATACCTGGCTGCAGCAGCAAAATTTGCAC